AACATTAAAATTACTGAGCAATAAATATAAGCAGTTGGGAATAACATTAACAAAAATAACAACTAACCACAACCGTCAAGGCGAATGCGATTTGAAAAGACGCCAGCGCCCTAGCAAGAGAAAAGGAATCTGCAGCGTCCAGTGCGAATAATGAGAAAAGTAAAAACATAATAATAGCAACAACAACAGCAGCAATAATAACATAGGTTATGGCTGCGAATAATGATGCATTTACAAGAAAATCAGTAGAAGAGTAACAACAATAAATAAGGAAAACAGTGAATGCGCGGTAGACACCGACAACAAAAGCAACAACAACTATAAAGCACGAGCTTTAAACTACTAAGTGCCGTTTCAGACAGGGACTCAAAAGAGTCGCATTTTTTTCAAATTTTCTTTTGGTGTCGCTCTGGGCATTCACACGGCCAAAAAGAGTCCAGCAACTCGAGTCTAGTTTTTCTGCATTCCTTTTCACAAAATGTTCGTAAATATTTGTGCGGTTCGACTGCGCAACACCGCGCAACACTGCATGCTGCGTATTTCATTTGTATGTTGAGACATTTTGCTTGCAATGAATTACCATGAATATGATAGAACAATATGCATAATACAAGTACCTACCCGCTAAATAGTTTCAAAAAAATACTAAAGACGGGAATTCCCTAATCCACAAGAATGTATTGAATATCCGCTGCTAATATTTTCAAGGCCAAATTTATAATAGGAATTTCCTAATCTTTAAGTATTAAAAACTCATAATTTCTTTACTCCGTATTAAAAATTTATAATTTCTTTACTCCATAATCTATATCTTAATTTTCTCCTTATTTACAATTTGTCATAATATTTCTATTATTCTATGCATACGTATTTGCATATTACATACAAAAATAGATAACAGAACTCAAATTTGCGATCGAATTCATTTGAAACCGAGCGCTCTTGCAACCATTCAAAGGATTTGAAAGTGAAAAGGAATGCTGAAAAGGGTAGCAGCGAGCTGTTGCGAACAAGAACACAAAGCGTGCCACCCGAACACGAGTGGCACGGTCCCTTCGTCTTTCCTCGTCGTCCCCTCGCCCACAATAAACTGGTTTGAGACTCTTTTGCGTCCCAATGTGAAACGGCTCTAAATGGCAAAGTGGCTGTGCCACACACGCACACATACATACTTTTGCAGTTGCATGGAACATCGCTAATTTGCTGTTGCAGCTGCTTGAAGCGTAGTGCGCTTTTATTTGTATTTTGTGGCTGTAGTTGTTATTGTTGTTGTTGCTTGCAAATTACCCGTTTGGCTGTGCAAACACTCCTCGTCATCGACGCTGTCGTCGTCTGTCTGGCCATCAGCAATCACAAGTGATTTGGTTTCGAAAATTTCTGCTGTTAATGGTGCATTTTGATTGGCTGCTGTTTTTGTTGTTCTTGTTGTTGTAATGCAATTTGTTTTTTTTTGCCGCTGCTAACGCTGCTCATTTGCAGTTTTGCTTTTAATGTTGCTGCCGCTCTTGTGGTGGCATGCGCTTATTGTTGCCACTGTGTTGATAATATTATATTGTTGTTGTGTTGGTATGTTTTTTTTACACTTTGTTGTGTGTGATGCCGCGCGCGCATGCATTTAACATTTAATTAATTTTTCAACATAAAAGCAATAACAATAAAATATTATAATACAATATAACATCTGGAAATAGGCTTTGGAGGTGAGTGTGCCACTCTTTACATTTTTACATGGACTGTATGTCTCTGTAAGTATATTTGTAGTGTAAAAATTTGTTTGCTCGCTAGAGCTCTAACAAAACCTGCCTCATAAATCAGCATAGTTAGCAGCTCATATAAAGACATATATAAGCACAAATAAATATTCTAATTTTGCCATGCACACATTTTGTTGTTGTATGCTTAAGATATTTTTGTAGTTGTTGCTGTGTGTTATTACATTATGCATCGCCGCTATTGGCAGCAGTGCAAAGCCGAACGTGTCTAATAGCACGGTGTGAAAATTCACGCCACTTCATTTACGTGGTTCTTTGAGTCTCGATTTTTATTGTTTTCACTTTTCTGCATTTATTTGCTTTAAAATTTAGTACTATAGAAATTTTTATGCTTAACCTCGTTCTTAATGCTCTTACTTATGAGTGAGGTGGCAAACAAATTACATATTGAGACAGGTGATTTATTCTTAGGAACATGTATATACATTAGCGTGGGTAAAAAAAAGCAATATATTTTTTTCGCTCAGAAAAATTGGTTCTTAGACACCTCCAAGAAAGAGTTTGACCCATAAAATTGAGTTAAAATGCATAAGAAAACACAAACTTTGTTTCAAAATAATCAAACTTCAACCGTTATTATTCTTAAAACGGTTAGGTTTACGAAAAAATATTTATATAGAGCATTCAATTTCTTACAAAAACAAGATATATTTTCAAAAAGTTGGAAACGAGATTTGAAGCTCATACTTCGAGAGTATTTTTCAGAGGTGTCTCGAAACTATTTTTGATAGTACCAAGCGAAACAAAAAATTTTCGTTTTTGACTTACCCTAATAAACATATATGCATGAGAGGAGAGGCATGTGCTCTTTTGTTATTTGACATTTTTTTTTCACATACCAAAACTATCATACAAGTATGTTTTTCCATACTCATGGTGTCTTCAATCATTAGTGTTCATTTGCTACTAAACGGCTAATTTACATTCTTAAAACCAATTCTATGGCTTAGCTATATCCAAAAGATGATGAAACAGAGTCGGTAACTAAATTTGAATTGATATATAGAGGTCATTTAATCTTGGAACAAGACATGAACACAATGACACGATATCGGCTTGTACCTCAAATTCGGCTTGGGTTCTACTCGTATAGGAGCTTAATATTTTTTGATATACATATAGTACTAAGAATAGTTATAAGAAACCGGAATTTTAAATGCTAAAAAATTAAGTGATAAGGACTTCTGTGGTTCATATAATAACCACTTTAGGGATGTCAATTTTCACAGATCTCCTATGCGGAATGTTTATCGTGACTATAGGTAATGCCGAACCCTTTCAATATATTATCTTAATGTTATCATCACAAAAGCACAGCTGTTAAGATGAGGAGAAATTCAGTTTTCTTAAATTTGTAGAGGTGCTTAACATTGATTTTTATCATTGTTTGTATTTTTTACATTATATATATTTTTTAAAATATTGATAGTTCTCTATGTTTGGGTATGGCTCCTTCGTGGAAGTAGAATAGTTATTGGTTGTTAAATTCTTTGAAAACCAGGATGTTTTGTAGCTACTGCACCGAAAACACTAATGGCTAAAAGATTTTTCAAATTTACTCGACATACATATTGATACATTCTATATATAGAGAACAGTTTAGATGTGGTCTTTGTTATAGGCATCAATTTGGACTACGGCTGTTTGAACCTTCTTAAAATAAAAGTCTAAACTAATAGTTGATAATGTGATCTTATTACCACTTTTGTCAAATTGAATAATATACAAGTACATAGGAGTAAGGGTTACTCAAAAATAACTACTTCAAAGAAGTAGCCAGTTTTCCAAAAGTTGACTGATGCGACTTAGTAACATTGTTGACATTAATCTTTTTAGATTTATTCCCAGAAATATGAAGTAATCAGAATCGCCTTCCGACTACCAAATCACAGTAGTATTTTCCAAGCGGAGATCTCAACAATTAAAGAAAGCCTTTCTGTTATGACAAAGAGGGTGCTTACAACAAGAAATATGTAGTCTCTTAGGGGTTCATCGTAGATAGTGAAAGATCTATTGGTGGATTTAACATCCTATTTCACGATAAACCTGCAATAGCTTCTTGGACACAGTGATGTTCCTGGTAACTGTGAAGCAGATGAACTAGCCAGAGCAAGCCCCACCATACAATTTACACCGGTAAAGAATTAATATATATAATCGTCCTTACGCCTCTGTCCGATTGAAGTTATTGTACCGACAAACATGTTATAATATTATATATATGTTAGATATAGCTGAGTTTCGATGGAAACAATCCGTCACTTGTTCAACATGTCCCTGTTTTATTGACAGATATGCCAGCAGACTGGAGATATCATACAACATTTACTGTAGAAGCTTCTAAAAGGTAGATGAAGGAAATACCGTAAAACATGCTCATTCAAATAGAAGCAAGTCTCGGAATAAATCTTTTTGCATTGATGAACTTCAACAAGCGCCCAGGGTGGTTCAGAGAGGACATAATATATGTGAGGGCATTTTAGTCCCGGTGTTTTCACAATGGGCATCCTAAAAGTCTAGGTGCGTCATCACATATCCACCCTACCCTAAGTTTTTAAAGCCTATAATTTACTCAAACTATTTGTCAGTGAGTGCTTATTTTGAGTAACTGAACTTGTGAAACATAATTTATAAACTATATTACAGTAGTTGTCTGGACTTGTAAAGCACATTCGAAGTATTTAAGTTGTGTAACTGACGAGTATTACTAAATATGTTTTATAACTGTTTTAGTAGCGCTTGTTTGCGCTAGTAAAACGGATAAAACTATACAGGTTATAAGCCAATATATTCAAAAGTGAATATTTCAACTTTTACAACAAATGTATAATGTTGAAAGAAGCTGAGTTGCAGATAGTTTTCACACATGTTGCAACTTGCAACCAAAAATTAGTACGAGTTTTTAAGGCTTAAACTGTTGCAACAATTCTAAGCTCTCTATATCTCTCTGACGAGACTGTTACAAGTATGAAAATCATTTATAACTATGTTTCATAAATCGATATTAAATTAATTTCATTGTACTTATTATTGGTATTAAAATTTTAATATTTACAACTCTCTTTCGAATGTTTAATTATTACAAAATTTCTCTGTGCTCATTTGCAGTTTCAACCGGCATACTTATTTTTAACCCGCATAAGCAATTATGCTTTTAAATTTACAAAATTATACTACTTTGTAATTAAATCCCACCCTACAAGAGAAAATAAATGGCAAGATAATTACCTTTTAATTTGCGAAATTGATTTGCCACCGTCTGCTGGCTAATGCTTTGTGGTTGATTGGTTGTTTTGTTGTTACACGGCTTTTGCAGTCATTGTTGTTGTTTTAACTTAATGTCTCACTAGATTGGATTTTCCTTACGCCTTTTGGCGCATTTGCCTGGCCTTTTTAATCATTTACGAATTTATAATTTACTTTATTGTTTTTGGTTTCTTATATTCATTATAACTCTGTGTATGCCTTGTAATTAAACAATCCATTTAAGTTGATGCACCTGACATTGACGGGTATTTATGTGTATATTAACTACAATGTATATACATATGTCGGTTTGTAGTTGGCCTGTGTATTTTGGTGTTTTCTTGTATTTGTTTGCTTTTGCAAACGGTAGTCAAGGGAGACAAGTAAATGTGCTAGGGCGCGCGGATCAATTTATGCTTATTTGTTTTTGTTGTAACTTTTTGCTGTGATTGACTAGCAGCTCACTGACTTTGACATTTCAATGACTCTGCTTGATCGGCTTTTTAATTCCATTTATTTTTAACTTATTTTGAGCCTGTCCTTTTTTGCTGTTTTTAATATAACTTGTGGTATTTCTCAAGTTTTCATTGTTGTTTCACATTTTCACTTATTTTTAATTTTTTTATTCTATATTTTTTGCTTCTTTTCCGTGTTGTAATGTTTGGTTTGGTAAGTGGTTTTTATTTAATCACAATAAGGAAATGTTAAAAACTAAAATCAATTCAAGTTAAATAAAACTCACAGTAAATTTATAAATTCATATATAAATTCATTGCTATTTTTTTTTTTAATTAATAAAAAGAGTGTTTTGTTTCAGCGCTTTATCTTCACACACTTGAGTTTACCATCTCACAACAGATGTGTAAATTTTATATTAATTTTGTTGTATTGTTGTTGTTAGTTTTCCAAAATGTAACAATTAATTAATTAAAACAGAGTCTTGTGCTAAGCAATCATTTTGCTTGCAGTTTTTATATCACTAAAATTTGTATTATAACAAAATCAATAAGTAACTTATAAGTTTAACAGTTACTTTGTCCTTGCCGTACGTGGGTTAGAATGTTTTAATTATTATTAAATTTAAATTTTTCTAACGAACCAAGATTTTAAAACAATTAAAAACTTAAGAAACTCACTTTTTTAGCAACTTGCAGCTTCCACAATCAACATTTTGCATTAACTTGCAACTGCAACTTCTGACAACGCTTATCAGCACCAAAAGCCTCATTCACTATAGCATAAGTTACTGTTATAGTGCAATTAACACTGAGGCACATTCGCGCTGCCGTTGTTAAGTCGTCAATCGCCAGCTGGACGCACTGACGCGCCGCGCCGCCGTCGACTGCAATGAACTTACGCTGAACCACACACACCAGATTGCATCATTTAAGATGTTCTTTAAATAAATATTATTGCTTGCAACGACACTCTCGATAGACGCCACACGCACTTTGACCGTTACTTATCAGCCAGCTCGCTGAACGACATGCACTTTTGGTTTCTTTGCTTTGCTTCTACACTCCACACGCGCTTATCAGTTTGTATTCACATTGGTTTTGTAATTGCCTTTTACCACACTAAATGCCACAATCAATTGCATTCATAGAAATAAATTTCAACTCTTCATTGATTAACTCTCTGCTTTTCGGTTGAGACTTCAATTTCAAACACACTCGGAAAATTCACTTTGTTTGCCCTGCAAAACATTTCACCGAGTCGTTTTCTTTTACTGCTTCATGTAATTTATTCACCTAACAACCGGGACGTACTTCTTTACGTTCACACGATTCGTTTACAACTGCCACATGCCACACATGGTAGCAGCCAAGTGCTGCACTAGCTTGACTCTGGCGACGACGGCAGCAGCAGCTCATCACCAGGAATGGTCGGCTGGTTAGTGTGCTCGTTCGTTGGCTCATCGGAAGTTCCAACGAGAATTCGTATGTTGATGATGTTATCGGCAATACTTTGGAGCTGAGAGAGAGCTGGCGAGAGATTTCATAAGGTAAGACGGTAAATTTGTAGCAGGCGAGAAAAATTTTTGTAGGTAGGTGATATAAAACTTTTACTGATATTTTTCAAACAATAATATTAAAAATAAAAAATATAAAAATTATTTTTGCTTCTTTATTGTATTAATTTGTAAGTTTATTTTAATATTATATTTTTACCTAAAAAAAAATTTTTTATATGTATATTAAATTAAAGAATTACATAATGAAAATAGATCTATTAATTAAAAAATATTTTTATTATTGAATAATAAAATACTTTACTAAAGGCATATAAAGATTTAAGACAATAAAACAAAATATAATGTAAATTTATATTTTTACTTAAAAATATAATTTATATTTTTTGGTTTAAAGTAAATAAAGTACTTAAAATATGGATCGGCTTTAGTACAACATCCTCTATTTTGGGGTTAAAAAGGATATGGTTGGATAGAGGAGATCAAGAATTTTTATAATTATAGACGCCGAAAACTTATAGTTTTCGAGATATTTGCATTATATGTTGAAAATTTGAAAAATTTTATCTTACAATTTCTTGATTTATAGTAAAATTTTTCTTTTATATTATGCACTTATTATACACTAACACTTCGCGGCATTGTTTCTACATATTTATTTTATATTAATTATTTTAATATTTGCTTTAAATAAGCAAATTATTTTTACACAATTTTCGTTATATGCAGAATAACAGAAGGTTCCATGTTGACAGATAATAAGTATTGCCATATCTATTTTGTATTGTATATACATACAAGTATATACATATATTTATATTTTGCAAACGAATTAAAATGAATAATAAAAAAAAAACATGAACCATAATTTTTTCGTTCCCTTCTCTTGATTGTCTATTAGATATGTTATTTTCAATTTAGAATTGTTAAAAATATTACTTAAGACTTTTGCATAGATTTTAATGAACCGTCAACTAGCCGTGGTGTGGTGAGAAAAACGAATGTTCTTACAGTGCCCGAAATCTAAGAAATGTGGAATTTCGGTTAAATACTACAAAAATTCCACACTCGCGAGAAATGTGTTTCATTTGCACAACAGGAAAGTTTAATTAAAAAACAAAAAGTTATGCAGTACCCATAGGATAACTATGTTGCTATCGGTATGCGATAATAGCACGGTTGGCGTTTTCCGATGCCGGAAAGGTGCCTGCTGTAAACGAACTGCGGTGTCGAGGCCGAATGAGAACATTAAAACACTTCTGCCTCAAGTGTTTTATTTAATGTATGAGTTCGTATCACAGTGGACGTATGCGGAGGTCTGTTCAGTTCATCAGGGAGCCAATTTTATCCAGCGCTACCATATGTGACTGGTATAATTACTGCCGAAGCGGTAGTTTTATACCAGGTTGATCATCAGGTAGTGGTAGGTAAAATTGGCGGCCCTCGTAAAATTGTTCAAATAGACGAAAGCAAATTAGGACGGAGAGTGAAAGGCCACTAGGTGCTAGGGATGGTAGAGGATGGGAGTGACGACCTTCGGCTGGAAGTGTGTCTCCAAAACGTGAGGTCTTCTGAAGTACTAATACCTTTAATACAGAGACACGTGGAACAGGGTACCATAATATGTACTGATTGCTGGAAGACGTACGACTACCTGTCCAGTCACGGGTATAAGCCCCGACGCGTAAATCATAGCGACCTCGATAATCCATTTGTTGCAGAGAATGGAACCCATATGCAGCGAATAGAGTGCCAGTGGCGCGTTATTAAACGTTTTCTTATTTAAGATAATTACAACAATAGTGAAGATATATCAAATTTAATTTACGAATACATATGGAAAAAAAATATTGCATGTCAGCATCAGGATCCATTTGTAAAATTGTTAGATGCAATAAAACATACATATACAAGTAAGCCCTAATACCTTTTTATTTTATTAAAATGGAAAATTTAGTTCATAAAATTTTGTAGAGTATTTGGGTTTTTAATTTATTTGGATTGCTTTCATTCGTTCGGATATGGCAACACTTACAATATTATCTGTCAACATGGAACCCGTTTGTTATTCTGCATATAACGAAAATTGTGTAATAAATAAAATTCATATTTAAAGCAAATATTAAAATAATAAATATAAAATAAATATTTATAAACAATACAGTGAAGTGTTAGTGCATAATATAAAGGAAAAATTAACTATAAATGGAGAAATTGTAAATAAAATTTGTCAAATTTTCAACATATAATGCAAATATCTCGAAAACTATAAGTTTTCGGCGGCTATATTCTTGATCTGTAGAATCTCCTCTATCCAACCATACCTTTTTTAACACTGAAATCGTGGGATCGTATAATAAAGTTTCCCCTAAAATATATATTAATATATTAATTTTTTATAATAAAATATTTTACTATATGCATGTTAGTAAAACTTTAAGATTTTAATTAAATTGTGTGCAGAAACAAAATTTGACCACAAGCTAATTATATGGTGGGTCACCATAGAGTGGGCTGAACCATATGAACCATATATGATAAGCTGCAAGCTGAAAATTTTAAGAAAACGCTTTTATAAGAGGGCTGCCCCCTATTTCAAAACTGATTTCATTCCCATTTTTAGATCATAAATTAAAGAAATAATAAAGATATCGGACAACAAACTAGAGAGCTAAGAAAACATACAGCATCAAATACATTTCAGAGGGATGGCCAGAACAATATATTTTTTATTAATTCGAATGGTGGTCTATATAAATAAAACATTAGCATTGACACCCTTTTGAAAGGTTAACTAATATAATTAAAATATTTCAACTTAAAGCGGAATATTTAGTTCTCAGAAACCATTCATATCACTTCTAGAATATCAAAATATAAATAAGATTTAATACAAAGAATTTTTAAGCTTAAACCATTTATTTATTGTTTTTGTGTTCAATCATCAAACCAAAATAACTTAAATATTATTGAGGCTTTCATATATGAAAAATATAGTTCTTCGTTTTCTTATTAAAAATAGTTTCAGGCTTTTAAAGTGTATGTCATAAAATTCTTATATTCAACTTTATTCTTATTTCATTTGACAAAAAAGACTTTTATAACGAATATTAGATGCCTTCCTTTTTGCTCAAGATATATTTTATAGCGTGATATATTTAACACTAGAGGTTTTAATTCTGAGATATCAGAAGTAAAATTTTCTCTCATAAATTACGTTTTCAATTACAAATAGTGTTTCTAAATATGTACTACAAGTAGCTTACATCCTCGAAAACTATATAATAGAAAGTCGTTATTGTTATAAATTGTAATTTTCTCCCATGCATTAATATTAAAATTTTTATTGCTTGAGAGAAATTTATAAAGCTCAACAGTTTTATCGCTAGCATAAGAAGTTTTTTTCTCGCAAGCTAGAGAAAAATAGTTTTTTCACCCACCGCTGTATTCTCTCCAAATGCTCTGCCAGTAAGCGTGCTCCACAAAATTTCCAATAGGAATTTCACTCACTGGAAATAACAGCTGATTGGGTTTGTTTATTTGAGAGCACGTCCGGATGTCGGCTCATATAAAGCATTGAAACTGTAATTTATATCTCACAGATACCATGCGTATTCGTGCCTTGACAGTCCGATAGCTAGAAGACGACACCGGTTAATTGGTGTTTGCTGACGCAATGGTTTTACGAATTCTGCAGTGGCGGAAATCTTAAATATGTCCTTATGTTTGTGTGTCTCTGGTGTGAGGTGTTTGATGTAAAGAACATGATTTTTGATTTTGTAGCAGAAAGGTAGTATTTAAAGTTGGTTGACTTGAAGTTGTGCTGGAAAACTTGTGTTTACTTGTACTAGCTACAGAGTAAAATAGTTTTTTTCACCTAACGGTTGTTTGTATCCCCTAAAACTGATCGAGATAGATATGGAGTTATGTATATATAAATGATCAGGATGACGAGACGAGTAGAGTTCCGAGTGACTGTTTGTCTGCCCGTCCGTCCGTGCAAACGATAACGTGAGTAAAATTTGAGATATCTCGATGAAACTTGGTACACATGTGCCTTGGCACTCACGAGAAGTTGGTATGGCAGATGGGCCGAATCGAACCATTACCACGCCCACAACCGCCATTAATCGAAAACCAATAAATTGCCATAACTAAGCTCCATAGTAAGATACAAGGCATCATACAGGAAATTCTGCTAAGGGCGTCAAAATGTTTTATCTGTGGTAGTTACAATCCTGAAGACATATCGCTCATCGTCCTAAGCGTAAAGGTACGTTCTATTTCTGTAAATTGATGTTGAGAGCATAACAGTTGGTAATAACTTTAAACTAGGAGTGAGAATTCTGTTTAGCGGGTGTTGATTTACGAAGTGGAACGGTTGATCACCTAAATTTTTTTGGAGATGCATAGCTTCATAACCATAAATAGATGCATCTGCTTTCCAATGCCTTTTTAGTCTTGGATAAGAGAAAAGTTTTTACAACGCTCGTTCTATCAACACTTCTTCCGCTGTCACATTCTCATTAACTGGCATATAACCATTTTTTTTGAACTCATGGTGTTGAGAACTAACATGTCAAATGTTTGCAAAATTTAAATACTGATAGTCACTTTGTAGCTAATATCTGCTGATCCTACCTCATATATCGTTAGCAAATTGTCCCTGAACAGGGTATATTAAGTTTTCCACGAAGTTTGTAACACCCAAAAGGAAACGTCAGAGACCATGTAAAATATATATATAAATTATCAGAGTGACGACCTGAGTCTATTTAGCCATGTCCGTCTGTCTGTCCGTCCCTCTGTTTGTTCTATTCGCGAACTATTCCTTCAGTTTTTGAGATATCCATCAGAAATTTTGCACACGCCTCTTCTCACCAAGAACCTGCTTAATTGTCGGAACCGCCGATATCTGACCACTTTAGCATATAGTTTCCATACAAACTGAACGATCAAAGTCAATTTCTTGTGTGGACACTTTTTT